ATTAAGGGAAGTGGATAGCGGTTCTTAATCGTGATTTCGTTTAAGCCGCGATAGTCCATATATAAGCGTAGTAAGCTATCCTTTTTCGGAACGAATAGGATAGGCGTACCCGCCTCGCTTTTACTAAGCTCGATCTAATCGTTCTTAGTCGCTTTAGTAATATACTCCTATAGCTGCGCTAGCTCTTTCGGAGACTAATAATAGAGAGGTTTAAAGGGCGGCTTCTTACCTAGCTCTAAATCGATAGCGTACTCTACGTCGTTAGGGAGCTTACGCCTCGCCTTATCCGTAGGAAAGAACATATCGTAATATGCCTTAAACTCCTCCGGAAGTTCGGACCTACTAAGGATTTCGCTAGTACGTAATACGCTTACTACGAGAACCCTTACGTACTTGCCCTATATCTTACGGTAAAACTCCTATAGATTAATAACCTTAATTCGACTAGAGYTTAGTTTACTAAAGCGCTACGCATCCGTAGCGCTATCGACGATTACACGTTATGTACGTCGCTAGGGGCGGCCTAATATAAGTTCGGGCTTTAGAGTTTCGTATATATAGAAGGTTACTTCTATTATTCGTTCGACTCCTTCCGAGTCTACGATACGTAGACGTATAACGTGCGCTCCGTAGTAGTAACCTAGTTCTCCGGTAAAGGAGGATGTAGATAGTAATAGCGCATCTACTCTCGCTAGTAAGCCGGCTCGAAGCACGAACTCTCTTAATATAACGTTAATATCGGCTATATCGTCTAGTAGGTAGTCGACCTATATTAGTCSTACCTTCGTTTCGACTACGCCGCGCTAGTAGCGCGCTAGGTRTATRTCGACCTTACTTAATAGCTTTAGACTTAGAGTTTAAGCTTTTTCTCGGAGTCCTTTRCTTTTTCCGTAAYRACTAYAGTAACCTTRCTCCGCGTATTACTCGGCCCTTAGCCTTCTACGCCGCCGCCTTTAGCCTAATATRTCTTATTAGTATAGCCGGTRCGGCTATAGTTAGAGYACTTTAGGTCTAAATAGGCGCCTTCTTTACGCTTRCGTAAAGGCTRCTCGCTACTACGGTTAGACTTAGGTTTACGTTCCTTATTACGATTATAGGTATTCTTACGTAGTCTACTACTACTACGGTTATAGTCCTAAGACTTATAATTRCCGCGCTTAGTACCCGTAAGCTATACGCTCGTACCCTTATCGGCTGCTTTAATRCGCCTTACTAGCGCTACTATYTCTACCCTTATTATARGTATAGAGTATAACTTAATAATCTCCTAACGGAGAGCTAGTCTTAGCTTAGCGAGGAACTAACGTACGAGCTACGCTTACGTGTAGTCTAGTTAACTCTCTAGTACTTCTAGTTTAAGGGCGAATTACTTTACCGTTTAATCCTAGCTCTATCGAACCCTTTCGTACTTAARCGTARCGCTAAGCGCGCGGTTCGTAGGGTCYCTAACGGTATTACGTACGAACGATTAGAAATCCTCCTACGTATAGCTCGGCGTAAGCGCCTCGATATCGTACTCGTTATACTACGACTCTACGACGTCTCCTCCTAGCTACATAACGCTATAGAGGACCTTATTATAGTTACTCTCTAGGCTAGTAGTAGTATTAGCGAAGATTATCTTAAGTTAGCGTAGGAATTCGCGTRCCTCTTTAATAGAATCCYCTAAGAATAGTTTAGRATCCTTTATCTTAGGTCTTACGCCTACTCCGCTACGCGTATACGCTACGCTTAAACTCGAGGTGCTTATAGTATCCGGATCTTCCTTATATAAGAGGCGCGTAGGCACGACTCCGCGACGGGGTATAGTAGTAGCTACGCCTACGTCGGCGCGGTTACGATTACGCTTTATTTATTAGACTTCTAACTAAAGTTAGCGAATCGTCTCTTACTACTATAGAGCCTACTTCTCGCCTTCGAGGCRCTAGATTATCTTATTAGCCGTCTCTTCCTTATCGCGTTCGTTTTCTCCGTAATCTATCGTGTCTTCGTCTAGAGTAGGCTATATAGGCTCTACGGTAGCGACTTCTTCGACATCTCCGTAGTTAGGGAGTTCTTCGACGCGTTTATCTTCGTAGCGCTACTTAGGAGTAGTCGCTTTACGGGCGGCGCGCCTAGGGGCTATTCCGTTAGAATCTAATAGATCGCTACCCTTAGAGAGGAAGAAGAATTAGAATTATAAGRGTAAAGATGTAGCAATATATTAGAYACCCGTAATTACTCGATTAGAGATAAGACTAATTCTTACGGGTTAAATGTGCGCTATGCGTAGGAGTTATGYATGCGCTAAGCCTACGCTAAGCAGTTAGGTTATATTACACTCCCCTCTCTAAGGTTAGTTAATCTAGCTACCTCTATTAATCCTKTTATTATAAGGGCTCTTACACGGCCCTTATAGTAATTATATCCCTTCGTATCTACTACGGCTTTAGAGGCTGTTTAAATATATAGTAGTTACTATATAGCGAAAAAGGGTTTAGTATTACCTCTATAAGCTTACTTTAACTATATAGTATATTAAGTAGAAGCGACATTAAACCTTCCGTAGTTATAGCGTATACGGTCCTTAATATTCGCTCTATATATAGTACTTTATTAATTAGCACTTACTTAACGAAGAGGCGATTAAAACGAAGCGTAAGGAGCCCCCCTTCGTACCTCCGCCCTCTACTCCTCCGCCCTCTATATATCCGCCTTTAGAACCTCCTTTACTACCTTCTCTAGTAGTTTATTTATCTATAGCCGCCCTTATAACGCTCTTATATTATTAAATATACTATATAGAGAGTCTGCTAGATACTTAATACTTTTATAATACTCTAATCGAGCTACCTCTAACTCTAGTAACCGCTCTATTAATACCTTTAAGTACGCCTTTAAGTCCTTTACTTTAGAGGCTAAAGATAAAGCGCATACGTATTAAGAACCTCCTTAATTAGGTAGTAAGGCCTAAGTAGTTAGTAACCGGCTAGTTAATTATACATAAACTACTAACTATATAGCTATTATTCCCTTTCCTTTACTTTAGAGCGTAAGTTAAGCTAATTTAGAGTAGTAGTTAGAACTTATAGTATAAACTACTACCTCTAGCTAATTACCGGTTACTTACTTAGCACTAATAACGAACCCTGTAACATATAAGCTAATGCAGAGTTTTTATAGTTTATTAACTAGTGTCCGGCTAGCCGAGAGCAACCTTATTACCGTACAACCTTTAAGGGGATAGCACGTGTAGATAGCAGACTATCGAGACGATACCTAGTACGTTACAGAAAGCATCGCGGAGTTGTTTCACACACCTGATCTTCGATCTCGGCGTTGAGCGAGTCTACGAGTCTGAGGCATTGAAGCGACCTGCTTAATGCTTCTTTCGAGAGTATATCTTAAAGCTGGGAGCATCACGAATTCTAACGCTTGCATGCAGGTCGTGTGAAGTGCAAGACGAATTCGGAAGTGTACAAACGGTCTTGTGTGTGAAGAGGCACATATCGTCTGCAAAAATGTAAGTTTGATCCCTGTGGTTAAGTTGATCGCCCTGCCAAAACCTCGAAGGTACCGCTTTCAGACGTATTACAAGCCTTTGAGCGCACTGATACGTGAATCTGTGCATTCGCTGTCATCTCTAACCTCTCGAAGCCGTAACATGCTACCTGTACGACAGCAGAAGGAATATTGACTGAAAAGACACTACCCCAACCCTAACCCTCTCGATCAGCCGCAGCCATGTGGCACAATCACATGCAAGAAGAAAAACAGGGGTTTTAGCGCCGTCAGCATGGAAAATCGTTGAGCTTGCACCCTTGAGATTGCTACGATGAGATAAATGATCAGATGGAGGCCATTGCGGGAGAACATCTCCGAACGGGTCATTTCAGAAGTGGAGTGATATCAGCGATGGCAACAGGTTTCTATGGTCTCGTGAGGTCTTACTGCATGCAGCAAGTACCTTACGAGGAGGAGCTTTGTGGTGATAGAAGTCTTTGTGATCGGCGCCGGTGACGATGACGGCACGCATTTTCGAGAACCTGATTATTTAACCATCAACAACAATTCTCGCCTGGCAATCTGACTGAACCCCACCCCTGTCACCTTCATTTGCAGCACCTCGTCCATCAGCATCAGCATGGCGGATTCCACCTCTCCTGCGAACATCACGCCAGCTCAATACCCCGATCTCAACCCGTCGCAGCAAAAGTCGTCTGGCGGCGGCATCCTCAGCAGTAAGGTAAGTAAGCAAACACAAACTTTCCCGGCCGCAGCAGCAGCAGCGGCAGCAGCACCATGGCAGCTACGATGGATGGGAGAGAGAGAGCAGGGAAGCAGCAAGCGGATAGTGGCAGCTTCCAGACAGCGCACATCCGCGTCACTGCCACCCTTTGTCTCTGTCAACTGTCATTGCTGGACTACCACACTGCTCATCTCCCCTCCTCATCCTCCACCAACTGTTATCATCCACTCCGCCACGCAGCCGACGACCTCCGCCAACCCGCCGCTGACCATACACGCCTGCAGTCATCGTCTCAACCTCGACCCGCCAGCATGTCCGCTTCCCCGCCTAACAAGGCCCTCGCAGACGCTTCACAGACCGCACAGCAGACGATGGAGAACATCAAGAACTCCCAGACGGTGCAGTCGGTTGCCAACGGGCCCCTCGCCGACAAGGCGCGCACCGAAGCCACAGCCACCAAGAACGAGTTCAGCAACCTCGCCGCCTCGCGTCAGACGCCCCAAACCCAGACGGCCAACGGCCAGGACCTGACCCATTACCACTCCTTCTTCTACAACCTCTTGTCGTGGGAGAACCCGCGCGCCACCGCTATCAGCTATGCTAGCATCGTTATCCTCGTCTTCGCCACACGCTACCTTCCCATCACCCGCTACACCATGAAGGCGCTGTACATGCTCCTGGGTCTGACAGCCGCCGCCGAGATCATTGGCAAGGTCGCCCTCGGCCAGGGCGTCGCCAGCAAGATGCGGCCCAAGAAGTACTACACCATCCCGCACGAGACGCTCGAGAGCGTGCTCGCCGACACGGAGGAGCTCATCAACTTCTTCGTCATTGAATTCCAGCGCATAGTCTTCGCCGAGAACGTGTATGCCACTGGTGCTGTATGTTGACTCGCACCACCAGAATATGCCCGTGACTTTGCTGACCTCCGAATCTAGGCCTTCATCTCTGCCTTTGTCACCTACTTCCTCGTCAAGATCATGCCCAAGTGGGGTCTATTCCTCTTCTTCACCACCGTCGTCTACTTTGCTCCTCTCGCATACATCAGCAACAAGGAGTTCATCGACGAGCACCTCAACAACGCCTCGACCATTGTCTCCGAGCAGGCCAACCAGGTCCGTGACATCGCCGGTCAGCACGCAAGCAAGGCAGTGGAGGCAAGCCGTAGCGCCATCAAGGACTACAGCTCTCAGGCGTCGGAATTGATCGGCCAGGGCAAGAAGGCCGCAGTGGACAAGGGTATTGTTAAGCCAGAGACCGCCGAGAAGGTTGCATCGGCCACGGTGACCCCGGAGAAGGCAGTCAGCTCCTCTGACTTCCCTTCGGCACCAAAGGTTGAGCCGGTGATTGAATCTACCCAGGTCGAGCCCCTCAACCCTGAGCACCCTGTCACACGCGATGCCGAGCCTCTCCTCGCCTAAACTGCTGGTAGATGCTCTGTCACAATACACACCTGGACATGGAACCTGAGAACGACCTTCAACGACTATGCATTTTGTGGGAGGCGCAAGAAAGTTATGCTTTGTTGCCATTGTCACCTATGAGGTGGCCTTTTTCTGCGGCAACTTTTTCCGGGAGCACGAGACCTGTAACATCACCTACATCAGCGTTGTTCAAAGACACGAGTGAGCGAGCCAGCGAGGAAGCGCGCGGATGTGGTATCATCCAACGTCCTATTGTAGAATGAGCAACGAGATGGTGTTTTAATGAAATGCTTCACATTCGTCTCAATGTTTATCGCTGGTACATCAATGTCACTGCCCACCCGCGAAGACCCCATGCACAGCAGGCGATCTGTTTGCCTTCTCGTAGATCCCATTGGGAAACATATCCATGAAAGATAAGTACATGTATCAGGGCTGAAGCTCTCAGAAAGGCAGGACGCCAACCGATAATCGTCCTGCAGAAGAGTCCCAAACGCCATGCTTATACGCTAGTCAAAAACACTGACAATGTTTCTCTGTCGATCTTATCGCGCATGCGGTCCCTCAAAAATAGCAGGTCTCTCCCCAACCATAGCCGAAGCCGAAGACCGCCTCACAGCCCGAATCGTGCCCCCACCCTGCTGCCACGCAGCCGGACCCAATGCACTCTCCTCCCCACCGTACGCCCTCGGTGGCACCAAGAAAGGGCTCGTAGCTTGTGCACGTTCCGGACTCCCTGGATGATTGAGGAAGGCTTGCTCCATTTCATCGTGACGAGGTTGCAGAAGGGCTTCCTGGCCTGAATCTCGTTTGTGGACTGATCCCTCGGGAGTTGGAGCGGGATCGTAGAGCCATGCGACTTCGGGGTATACCTTTTTATGGGGAAAGGGACCTTTGCCTTGTTGACGACGACGGACGAGGAACATGGCGGCTATTAGGAGGAGGACGACTGCGGCTATTACTCCCGAGACTATTCCTGCGATTTCGCTGTTTTTGATGTGTTCCGATGCTGGAGGTTTAGTTGTGTAGAYCKSKGKGSKSGMYST